GAACTTCAGTGTTATTATTAGATCTCAGTGCTGCGTTTGACACTGTTGACCACAGCATATTACTAGACCGACTGGAAAACTGGGTGGGACTTTCGGAAACAGTTCTAAATTGGTTTGAATCCTACTTAAAGGACAGAAACAACTTTGTTTCTATAGATAAATACACATCTGAGTTGACAAATATGACATGTGGGGTTCCTCAAGGCTCCATCTTGGGGCCTCTTCTCTTTAACATCTACATGCATGCATGGCTCAGATAATGAAAAACAACAAAATAAGTTACCATAGCTATGCAGATGACACACAAATGTACGTAACAATTTCACCAGGAGACTATGCTCCAATTCAAACACTGAGTAAGTGCATTGAACAAATCAATGACTGGATGTGTCAGAACTTTCTCCAATTAATCAAAGATAAAACTGAGGTAATGGTTTTTGGAGCCAAGTCAGAACGTATAAAAGTTAGCGCTGAGCTTCAGTCTGCAATGTTCAAAACAACAGATAAAGCCAGAAATCTAGGTGTAGTCATGGACTCTGACCTGAGTTTCAACAGTCACATTAAAAGAGTTACTAAATCAGCCTACTATCACCTAAAGAATATATCTAGGATTAAAAGACTAATGTCACAGCAGGATTTGGAAAAACTTGTCCATGCTTTTATCTTCAGTAGACTCGACTACTGCAATGGTGTCTTCACAGGTCTCATATTAGGAAGCTGCAGCTGATTCAGAACGCCGCTGCTCGAGTCCTCACTAACACTAAGAAAGTGGATCACATCACTCCTGTTCTGAAGTCTTTACACTGGCTTCCTGTGTGTCAAAGAATAGATTTCAAAATACTGCTGCTGGTTTATAAAGCACTGAATGGTTTAGGCCCAAAATACATTTCTGACCTCCTGCTAAATTATGAACCATCCAGATCTCTCAGGTCTTCAGGGACTGGTCAGCTTACTGTCCCCAGAGTCAGAACTAAACATGGTAAAGCAGCGTTCAGTTATTATGCTCCAAATATCTGGAACAAACTCCCAGAAACCTGCAGGTCCGCTGCAACTCTGACTACTTTTAAATCCAGGCTGAAGACTTTTCTTTTTGTCGCTGCTTTTAATTGAACTATTCATATCTTAGACTGCACTGTAACTTTTATCCATGTACTTTTTCTTTTAATGTTTAATTGAACTATTCATATCTTAGCCATGTATTTTTTCTTTTAATGTTTATTTTATTAGCTTTTCTTTTTAATGACTGATTTTAAATGCCATTTTCTTAATGTCTTTCATTTTTTGTAAAGCACTTTGAATTGCCTTGTGTTGAAAAGTGCTATATAAATAAACTTGCCTTGCCTTGCCTTGCCTAAGCACCCCCAATAAATATGTTTTTTTTATTTTTTTATTATTATTATTATTATTTTTATTAAATTAGAAACATTATTGATTACATCAATGCAAATGTGAAACAAACAAATTTGTTACCAAAAACATAAAGCCAACACAGGTGATATGATTAGGCCAATGGCCAGCACACATTCGATTTTTGATCTACCCATAGGCTAAATTACTTTGTGACACTTGAGTGACTTCCTGTTAGCTAGAGCGCCAAATTATTTGCGAACAGGAAAGTGAAACATTTATCGTTTTTTTAGTCCTTAAACATCCACGTGTGGACACTCAATCAAAACCACCTGAAAGCGAGAGGGATTCTGCACATAATAGGCATCGTGAGTACAAGTAGCTTACTTCTGGGTCTCTGTGTTTCATTCAAGCTCTGCTCTGTGTGTGTGTGGCACGAGCCATTTTGTGTGCGGGAGCGAGAGAGAGAGCTCGCGCACCGGTGGGTATCTACAGGAGATCGTTGTGGTTAGCATCTGGTGCTAGCTAGCCAAGCTAACGGATATAAGGAGCTTTTTCAACAACAAGGTGGAGGGAGAACTCTCTCCTGTCAGACTGATAGTCTCAGATAACCAGTCAGCTCAGGTGAAGTAAAGGACTCTCAGTGTTTAGATAGTTAACTTTAGTCTAGTTATCTCAGTGGGTCTCAAACGGTTTGTTTTAAAAGGGGAGTGATTTGTAAAATATCTATAAAGAAATAGAAAATCTGTTTACAGTTCTGTTTGATTGATTGAAAAATTTATTAACAGCTTGTATATTGTGTACAGTACAGCACAGCTCAAAACATACAATTGTTAAGGGGATGCAGACCAGAGAAAGACTTTCGTCTTGTTTACATCAGGGTCCCCCATTTCCAATTCATCATATCATTTAAGACATATAAGACATATTTGACATACAGATGGCTTATTTACAATTTACATACAGGTGGTTTTCTACATACAGATTGCTTATTTACAATTTTCATTTTAGATTTTGTTCTAATACATCCTAACCGGACATTTAAGACATACCAAGTCTACAGATATACAGTTAGTAACAGAATCTAAAATGCGAGTATACACATAGATGGGGGGGGGAAGCTGTCCATTGAACGACAGGTTGAGATTTGTACCATTACCGGGGCCAGTTTTGCAATGCTCTCCCCCGAAGGTGCTCTTTAAGAGAGGTTTTGAAGGTAAGTATAGTTTTACTTTCCTTTACAGTTGTGGGAAGAGCGTTCCACCTTGATGTGGCATAATTGCGAAACGTGTATTCCCCCTTTTTTGTGCTTTTGTTTCATATGGGTGTTGAGAGATGTATCCATAGATCTCTTAATGTTGCTCTCAAAGTGCACCAGATTGATGCTTTTAACTTCAATATTTTAAAAAAATCTTCCTGGGGAAACATGCCCCCGGACCCCACTAGAGGAGGTGAGGTCCCTCCTAGAGGAGGTGAGGTCTCCCCACTTGTAAAAATAGCACTTTACCCCTGCTTACACCTATATTCCGTGAGCTGATTATCGAGCCTTCATTGTAACAGTCGCGGGTGCACTGTGTGTGCGTGTGGGGAGTGTTGCAGTAGAAAATTCAACTGTAGGGCTGGTGGGAAACCCTTAATGTTTGAGCACCCTCTATGAAACGTCAAGCTGCACCACCTAGAGAAAATCTCTGGCGCCGCCACTGCCTGCGGGTCGAAATTAAATCCACCAAGGGCCTGATTTGGCCCCCGGGCCTTGAGTTTGACACATGGGATCTAGATAATTGCCACGAAGCAATTCATATGCCGTTTTATTGTTTTTAACGTTGAAATGGAAAGTGCAAGCAGGTGTAGATGATGTTGTTGCGGAATTGTTTTGAGTAGGAAGACCAGGGACAGTTGTAACACGGGTCAGTTGTAACACCTTCAATATCTCCAATCACAAACAAGCTAGAGTGATGAAACTCACTCTGCACATGCGCAGTTAGATGGTAAGATCGCTGAGAAAAAAAGGAGCCATGTTTGAATTTCTCGCGTAAGATATCAGTAAAAGTGTGTTTCTGAGGTAAAATAATAACAAAAATTATATGATATATTTTTTGGATACTGTCTTGAGTTCAAATGTCTAGGAATCCAAACTAGTATTATTAGAATCACTGTTTTGTAAGCTACAAATATAACTAGCTAAATATGGGTCAAGCTAGCAACCAGGCAGGTTCACAGGGGGTGGAAGCAAGACTGGTGGTCCTGGGACGGTTGTAACGGGACGGTTGTAACATGGCACATTTACAATGATGGCTCATTTGCTTGAATGATCAATTGTTCATTCAAGCATACCGTTGTATTGTTGGTTGGTGTGCATTGTCCCTGTAAAATAAACAGAATATAATACTGTACAGTAGGCCTAAAGTGTGTGTGTGTGTGTGTGTGTGTGTGTGTGTGTGTGTGTGTGTGTGTGTGTGTGTGTGTGTGTGTGTGTGTGTGTGTGTGTGTGTGTGTGTGTGTGTGTGTGTGTGTGTGTGTGTGTGTGTGTGTGTGTGTGTGTGTGTGTGTGTGTGTGTGTGTGTGTGTGTGTGTGTGTGTGTGTGTGTGTGTGTGTGTGTGTGTGGTGTGTGTGTGTGTGTGTGTGTGTGTGTGTGTGTGTGTGTGTGTAGTGTGTGTGTGTGTGTGTGTGTGTGTGTGTGTGTGTGTGTGTGTGTGTGTGTGTGTGTGTGTGTGTGTGTGTGTGTGTGTGTGTGTGTGTGTGTGTGTGTGTGTGTGTGTGTGTGTGTGTGTGTGTGTGTTTTACAGTATGCCAAATGTCAGAAAGAGGAAGACAGACAGGGGAGTGCCACTTGCTCTGCTGCAGAGGGCCTCAAATGAAGTTGAGAAGGGCAAATCATTCAGGGAAGTGGCAAAATCCCTGAATATATGCCATGTCTCCTTGTACCGGTTCCATAAAAAGAGGCTGAGGTTGGAGAGTCAGGGATCACAAACACCCCCAAGAGTAGGCTACTAGACACCAAAGAAGGTGTTCTCAACAGAGCAGGAGATGCTTTTGAGAGACTACCTGATGGAGGCAGCTGATTTATATTATGGTCAGCTCAAAGGAGGTATAGGTCTACATAATTAAGGTAGAAGCACCTCTCAGAGAACAGTTTAATCCTTCACAGAGGATGATGCTGTGTGTGTTATCTGTTATCCTGTTCATTGTTTGTTGGAGCATGTGTGAAACCCCATTCAAATCTTGTTGCCTTAGAATTTGACAGCTTTCCCTATTTGTTGTCATGTAGTGTGAAAAAGGTAACCGTTATTAACATGTTACAACCGTGCCTGGCATGTGCTACAACTGTCCCTGTACACAAGGACAGTTGTAACAGTTGAGTTTAAAAAAAACAAAAACATTTTCCAACCTGTACTTATTTCATAAAAACATCTTAAATACATTGTTTCAGTAGCTGACATATTGATAATGTATAATATAGCAAAATGGCTATCGTAAATGGTTTTTTACTTATTGGGGAAAAACCCAAAAAGTGTTTGCAACTGTCCCTGGTCTCCCTACCCTTTTCAAGACGACAATTCAGTGAAAAGACGGACATTATAACGGCGGGGGGCGGGGGGTTTGTGTCTACAGAAGGTCCAGTTGTGATAGACACGGTTCGCCACTGGGTTTGATAAATCATTGTTAAAATTCTAGCTCAGTTACAGTATGTTTGCTAACCCCGCATCCATCCCCTGAAGCTCAGGCCTCACAATTGTTATCCTGGCCCACAGTTTTTGTGGTTCCTAAGCTCACCTACGAGGCTGAATTTGAGCTTCATCTAAAGAATGCAGAGTTTGAGACAACTGGTACATACTTCCAGCCTGGCCTAAAGCTGAAAGGAGTCATTCTTGATGGCCTAGCCGAAGAAATGATCAAATTCACAAAATATCCAAAAGACTATCAGTGTGAAGAGGTAGCTGCAGCGTTGACGAGGGCCCACCCTTGTTTGGGGCAGCTAGGATCCAAGATAGGATTTGGGGGGTGGAAACAGTCTCTTAAGTACAAAATGCAAAACTATCGTACAAAGCTTGGCCGTCTTGGACATCCTGAAATCCTTGTGAACTCCTTAAAGCACAAGAAAACAGGCCAAGGCAAAGCTGCAGCAAACATAACAAAACCAAGAAAAGCTGAAGTAAACTACATTCCTCTGCACCCAAAAGGCGAAACCACAGAAAGCTTGGAGAACGAGAGAATTGCCTTATTGTCAGAACTGAAAAAGCGTGACAATGAAGTGGTGATAAAAGCAAAAATGGAAAAAACCTTCTCCCACAGACGCCTTGAGATTGTGGAGCAAAGGCCTTTGATAGGGGACTTCAAATGCAGATGGCCTGCTCTGTTTCAGCAGAGTGAAGTAAGTAAATATTTGTATTTGTTGACAGTCTTTTATTATTGTCCTTTGTGATTCATGTCTACATCCTTGCATGGTTGTGATTCTAATAAACAAGTAACAATTGGTTGTATTGTGCTTGTTAATAATATTTTTAAGGTGAATGCGGAGTTTTTGAGGATCACAACATCACCACTTCAATCAAAGTTCATGTGGCAGCTGGACCACTTCTCAGACAAGCTCTTGAAGATCTTCAAGATCAAAGGAGGACTAAAGGGCCAGAAAAATCAAGGAAGCCCTTGCAATATCAGATTTGGTTAGTATAAATGCAGAGAACCTCGTTTTTCACTGTATTGTTTTTGTCCATGCTCATATGAACACATTTAAGAAATTGTCTGCTTTTATAGTGTTTTTAAGGATGTAGGGGTAAGGAGTCCTGCTTAGGGACACACACGACAGATACAGCCCTCTACTTTGTAGACCTGCTCTGTTGCACATGCATTGTGCTTAATTGTCTTTGATTTATCGCCCCTGCTTTAGTTTGAAAACATCCACATCAAGAGGGGGTGCATCCTGCGAAGCATCGCGATCTACCTCAACGAGGATCCAGACTCTTTTTTTAAGGAGTATCAGGTATGTTTATCACAATATGTTTTCAATGTATTGGTTAACAGTGTTACCCACAATTATAACCACCATTACTTACATTTATAATAAGAATATTCTATGGCACATAACCCTATCCCTGCTTACATCTAGATATCTTATCACATATCATAAATACATGCAGAAATAAATAAATGTATACATTAATATAGGAATGAATATATGTAAGAATGAATAAATACAGAAATAAAAAAATAATAATAAATAGATACAGAAGTAATTTCATCGGGCAAGTGTTAAAATAAATATAGAAAAAAGTGAATTAATACATGTATACAGATATAAATACATCTATAAATTAACATAGGAATACAATTGATAAATACAAATGTGAATTAAAACATGAATATATCTGGAAATAAATACAAATAATAAATGAATGCTGAAATAAATATTTACATTTATATATAAATACATCTATAAATGAATAAATAAATATGGACATGAATACATATGTAAGAACTTATAAATAATTGAATAAATACATAAATAAAATAATAAATAAATGCTGAAATACAGAAATATATTAATCAATAGATTCATGTTTAAAAAGGTATGTGAATGCAGCAATTACTAAATTGTTAAAAGAATAATTACATAATCACATAAATCAAGGAAATAAATTATTAAATAATAAATAATCAAATACATATCAAAATAAGTAGGTAAATGCATAATTAACTACAGGAATAACAACAAATTACATGATTAAGTAGGGATGTAAACAAATAACTTAATACCTGAATTAATAAATAAGATAAAGTTGATAATCAAACAGAACATACAGGAATATATCTTTATAATTTATTTATGTAAACATTTTCTTACAAGCTTAATTGAGTTCTGTGTTGGAGGTCCTAACCTTCTCTGGTATCACTCAGGACATTTTTGTGCAAATTGGTAATTTTTCACATCAGATTTGGCTATAATGATTTTGTGTTTTTTCTAGATACTTTTTGGAATTTCAATTTTTCTAATCGGTCTCGAATACACTGTGTACAAATTACCCTAATTGTCCATTTAAAAAATGTCCCCACACTTCCCAAAAAGTGTGGGGGAAAAATATTTAAATATAATATTGTTATCATATCATTTTATCATTCAAGTTTTTGAAAGTGGACATTTTTATATTGAGTGGCCAGATTGGGAGTACATTTGAGTGATACCAGAGGGTTAGTCTAAAACTGTTTTGATCAATGAGGAGAGCCACATAAGTAAATCTGCTTCTATAAAATGTAGTAATTCAGGTTTTAGTTAACACATGTGTTGTATGTTTGTGTCTTTGTTCAGGCCTCTGCCTCTGAAGATGCCAAGAGGGACATGGCAAACACAGTCATGGGCATATACACACTTCAAAGAGATGTGGATGGGCAGCCAGAGGACGTGGGAATTGTCATCGAAGGCAATATAGTCATGGACAACTTGGGCAGCATGATTGTGGGGTTTGTCATGCTATTGGGACTTATTTATGCCCTGGATTTGAGCTTTCCGGACAACCTCAAACACACCTTCGAGTTCATGCAGAAGGTAGTGATGAATCTGGATGGGCACAAGCTGAATGGTAAAATCGAAAGTCTGAAGATCAAGTTGTTCGATTGAAATGTGAAAAAGAAGTGACTCATGAGTTCATTGTTGTCATTTTATTCACGAGTTTCCTAATCAGAGCAGATTGAGCCGTTATATCAATCATTTGTTCTGTGCTTTTCTGTATTTGTTTCAACACACTGTAACACTATTTCCATATGTTGGTGTTTGCAGTGCACTCTTCATGTTATGTGTTATTGTCCTGTTAGAAGAGCAGTGCATACCCCTGTTATATTGTATTCATTGTATTTGGCAAAGGGAGATTTGTAAGTTAATTATAGGAGTTCCATTTCTCTGCCATTTTAAAAATGGTATTATCTTTCAGAAATGTTTTTCATCTTTCAGTGTGAATTCATTCATTTTTAAAACACTGTATTGAATGGAATGGAGGATTGTTTTGAATAATGTGAATTTAAAAATAAAAAAAACTAAACCATGTTTTCTATCATGTGTAACACATTTTTATTAAATTATATTTAACCTCATTATTTCATTTTCAATTAATTAAATAGGATTTAGGTGGACTAGCATTATCTAAATTCATAAAGGTAATGTTATCATTTTACTTAAACTCTATTTGAAAAATTTGAGTTGGACTAACTCATTTACATTATACTGCATGGATGCCATTAGTTTGAGTTTGTGCCACATATATTTATTGGATGGAAAACCTGCCAACAATAAAATTGAGTTAATCCAATGAGTTATTTCTTTGAGTGTACAGCAGAAAAGTGCAAGGTCGAACAAACTTAAAGCCGCTTACTAATCACTTTTCTTACTTAAAAGAAAAAATAGAAACCATCACAGCCTGGAAGCCAGAACATAAAAAGTTTAGATGGCACAATAAACTGTATTTTAGTTGGAGACACATTATCTGCTATTGGCCTGCTAATGTTTTCTTCTGCCACCCTGTTTTCTCAAAATAAAACACCTAAACTAGAGACACAGCTTGGGTTGCGACACAATCAAAGGAGGATGTATTTTACAGCTTGCTCTCAGAGGTCCCATAGCAGCCATGCTATTAGTGCGGCTCTAGGGGTGAGCTTTTTGTTTACCACTTTACAGACCAAAATACCTCAACAACTATGAGATGGATGCCATGACTTCCGAAACAGATATTAATGGTGCCCAGAGGTAAATTAATGTTGTTATTCCCTGATTGTTCCTGAAGCACTTTGAAATATCACAACTGAAAGGCCTGCCTCTCATCTTTAACTGTAGCCCATTGACTGTTTGTTAATTAGCAATAAGCATGCTAATATGCTAAAATAAGATTATGAACACTGCTAAACATCAGCATGTTAGTATTGTCCTTGCTAAATTAAGACGATAAACATGGTAAACATACCTGCTATACAGCATGTTAGCATTGCCAGTTTTAGTATGTTAGCATGCTGACATTAGCATTAGGCTCACTGCCATAGCTAAGTTTAGCCTCATAGTGCTGTTAGCGGCTAGGTTGTACTAGAGTAGGCATTTTGTTGGTATTTCTGGATATGCTCACATGTTGACAACTTAGTTACCAAAAAGAGGGATTTACTGAGCTGATTTGTCACTGGATTAGTATCGGCTTTGCTAATCAGTTCGAAAGTTAGCTCCAAAACTTTTTAAAGTTGGAAAAATATGTTAATATACAACCACCATGTTTTTTTGCATCAGCTTTTTCAGACTAAGCAATTATTCGTTTTTGAGGATTTCTTTTTAACTTCAAAGATGAAATAATTATAGAAGCAGCAGGGAATATCTGATGATGGTCGATTCACCTACACAGGCTAGCATCATTATGATATTCAGATCCTGAGCTATGATTGCATTTCATTTAACAATCCATTTCTTGAGGGTGATAGATTACATGCAAAGCTGCCAACTGGCGAATGCTATTTTCACAAGCTGCAATTAAAGCCCAGCTTTCTAAGAGCTGGCTGCACGGCTGAGCCAACAGAATGCTCTCCATATTTGAATCGTTTGTAATTACACTCGTAATAGTCCTGTGTAATTACAACCTATTTTTCAGCAGTGACAAAATTGTTAAACACATCATACACTCTGATCGCTCTTTACACACAAATACAAATAAAAGGGATTCAACAATTGACTCTGATTCAACAATTGACTCTGATTCAACAATTGACTCTGATTCAACAATTGACTCTGATTCAACAATTGACTCTGATTCAACAATTGACTGATTCAACAATTGAGCCATGAATAAAAATGTTTTAATAAAATGAACATTTTATCTCTGCCAGACTACGAGGCTTTTTGAATTAACCCTCCTGTTATCCTTGGGGTCAATTTGACCCCATTCAATGTTTAATGTATCAAAAAAGATGGTTCACATTATTTTTTTGCTTAGTATTTCATGACTTTTCCTAATGTAGTGAGGACTAATGGTTAAGCATAAAATGAACATGAAGATGTTTTTGAAATGTCCTGTACGCACTTTGTACGCATCGGTGTTCCTTGGGGTCAATTTGATCCCAGGCTGTTTTACGGCCCGTCCACACAGCGGCGTGCGTTGAAGCTTCCAACGCTTCTGCCCATTCACTTTGAATGGGGTGACGTCACTTTTAGCCGAACTGCATTTTGGGAAGCGACGTGGAGCGTTGCTGGCTTCAAAAGTTGAGCAATGTTCAACTTTTGACGCCTCGACGGAGGCGTCAGCCAATGAAATCCCGTTTATGCAAATCTGCCAGTACAAGCGCTAGCCAATCAAACCGCGTGTATGCTGGGAGAGACTACGCAGGTCATTTCCTCATATTCCAAAAAATGGAGGGAAAATTCATTATAGCGGTAGTGAATCACCCGGTGCTGTATGATCAGTCTCTGTTCATCTACCGGGATACAAACCGGAGGAGCGAGGCATGGAGGGAGGTGGCAGAGACAGTGGGTGAAACTGGTAGGTTTTCGCCTGTTTGGGGATTTTATATCCAGTTTACTTCGTTTTAACATTGCTATTGCTTTGTATGTCGGGGGCGGGAGATTCATGTGATTGGTTGTTGGTCGCGTTGCTCGCAAAAAATCCCCAAGCTTCAGACACGCCCACCGCCAAGCATCAACGCACGCCGCTGTGTGGACGGGCCGTAAGTAGTTTAAAACATATACAAATTTCAATATTTTGCACATATTTGTGTTGATTGTGTAGGATGATATTGAGGTGACTATTACATGCAAATGTATCATTGTAAAAAAGAATACCCTCTGCTTTAGTTATTGGTCCTTTAACAACATCAAAAAGATCTTACTTTAACATTTTATTTCAATCAGTGAGATTTGATGGTGATTTATATATTTTTCGATAGTCACATTCTGGATGTATAAAGGGGTCTGTGGGGGGAAGGTTGGGGTAATGTTTTATTTAAATGGTTATTTAGGTAGTCAACTAAGATACCTAAAGCACCAGAGACATACATGTTGGTTAACATTTGGAATATGATCATTGTCTTGAGTTTTAAACTACTGGTGTCAAATTGACTCCAGAGGATAAAGGGTGTAAAGTAAATCTGAGGATAACAGGAGGGTTAAGAAAGATTATGTCGTCTGCTTTTTTGCTAAATTACATTTTGAAGAACAGTGACCTCCTGCTCGTCTGGTCAGATCTGGAGTGTCTCGGTCGTGGCTGATTAAATCTGGAGATGATATGATTGTGGAAAGACAGTACAGAGTTAGATTTTTTAAGAAAGTATTTTCCTGTGGATGTTATCGGCCTGCTGTGAGCCTCCCAGGGTTTGATGAAGTTCTCGTTAAATCTGGTGAGCTGATTCACTCACTATGCACTGCTGTTTTTGTTTATGCATTGGACTGAATCAATATCACAGCAGTACTTCCTTTATCTAAGAGAGAGTGTGCAAAAACACTTCAGAAAAAGAAACACAACCAAACAAATCAAAGGCAGTTGACATTATCTTCAGTTGGCCAGGGAAACTGAGTTCCCATGAATAACAAAGTCTGAATATGTTCTGCATTTGGCAAAAAGGCAGCAATTGTATTTATAAAAAGCAAACGTTCTGGCTTCTTTATACTTTAGCACTGCAAAACAGTTGGTCATTAATTTATTTTACAGAACTTTTATAAACAACTATCTTTTGTAGGTTGGACTAAAAAAGGGTATTTTAGAGCCAATGATTATCAAGGAAAGAATCAGCAGAAATAATCAGTCAGTTTTAGAGAGGCACTCTGATGGCTTGTGGTTTACGGTGCGGACCATTAACTTTGAGGCTGTCCAGGGACCTTTTAGATGCCCCTAAAATGTATGCTTGGGTCAAATAGGCTTTAACATATCTGCAGACAATGATTGCCGTGTATAAATGTGCATTAAATGAAAATGTGGCCTTGAATAAACAGGCAGACATCTTTAATTAGATGGTCTTCTCTTAAGAAGAAACTGTGGAGAGGAACATCATTTCACTGACTCTTATCAATGTTTGATGTGTTAGGGAATAGCAAATTGAAGTTGTCAATATCACAGTTGAACAAAAAGCAATTTCCCTTCTGAAAACCACCTTGTAAAATATAAGCTATGTTTTATTCTTTACAACAGAGATCTCATTATTCTTCACACTATTTTTCAGCTTTTTCAGGTCACGCTTTCCGTGCCTTTAGATTGCATTGCACATCACTCTGCTCTTGAGTCAAGTTTCTGTTGTCTCATTGCAAAAATGAATAATAGAAATATGAAGATGCTAGAGAAGGAGGAAGGGAAAAGAAAGGACAGGATATTGTTAAAAAATAAATGTGTGACAGTGATATAGCAGTGACGCAAGAAGAAAGGAGATGGCCAAAATCAGAGGAAAGGAAAGAGTGGTAAGGAGAAAGAGTACAATACAGATTGATGAGACGATGCGGGAAAAAAAGATCTGGGATTAGAAAAAGGACTAAATATCTGGAACATTTAAAGCAATCATGAGGTGAAGTGTCTCTGTCACGGCTAGGCAAACCAGTATGAACCCAAAAGCACGACTCGACAAACAAAGTACAAATGAAAGTCTTTACTGAAAAAATAGTGACACTGTGAGCTCTCTGTAGAGGTACAGGTTTCGATAACAAAAAACACTCTTACGAGGAAAAGGTTAACATAGTATCAAAAGTCAAAAAGATAAAGTAAATTCCAAAACCTCGGTTCTTAGCTCTTAGCAGATAACATGGACTTTACGCTGGCAGTCAGGCACATGGAACGAAACGAACTGGCAACAAGACAAGGGAGACAGAAACTATATATGGCAGGCTAAGGGGGAACAGGTGCAGACAATTAGGGCGGAGTCGACAATCACAGTGGAGGGAAAACACACAAGGGGAGGAAGTGAGGTAATCTGCAAAAAGAAGGAAAGGTTATTACAAAATAAAACAGAATACAAGACTGAACTTAAAACATTAACTTAACAGATTTTACGAGATATAACAGTCCCAGCATGAGACCTCAGGGCATTTGAAATTGTGTAATGAAGATGAGTTTGCACATTCATCACATCCCTGTGAGTGCTGAAAGAACCAGATGGCAGTTCACAAACAGGTTTGTCTAAAATCAATGATGGCTGAAATGCATTTATTTTCCTCAGCTTAAGGATCCTGTTATCGCTCAGGCCGGTTCACTGTCACACCGTCATGGCTCACGGGTAAACACTCGGATAGTGCAGGGCTATCATTACTGTCACTGGTAACATCTCAACTTTTTTTTTTCAAGTAAAAAAACTGTCTTTATTTCTGATGTCAAA